TATTACTTATACTATTCAGTAAACTCCTCATCAGAAAAAAACATTTAGAAATAGATCTTAAATTGATTAAGAAATCGATGATAAGGTTTCTACACCATAAGGGAAGTTTTTGCTTCCGCTAGAGTCGCATTTATCAAACATACTGACAACTGATCGATTCATAAGGCAATATTTTGATAGGCATTACACTTACTGGTCAACGAATGATGGATGAAATCAATGCATTAAGACAATGTTCAATTATTACGCTTGAAAGTATTTTATGAAGTTCTCTGCCAATCATGTAGTTTTAAATTTTCGGTGAGGATGTAGTTATATAGTAACAGCATGTTATTAATACATTGAAGACATTTGATATGGTGTACTGTATACGAGACTGTCTTTTACTTTTTTCTATTGCTACTTACTATATTGTTTGTAGTATTGCTTAGTTACGTGATAACTAATTAATTTTGAACAGAATTGATGAAGGACTGCATGTACTAATTCTATAGGTTCGGCGCTACTCTCTTGGATATGATTACCTTTTGTATATCCCTATCGATTACGAGGGATAGCATTCAGTAATTTAATAATAATATACAAATTCGTATAGAAATGAATTTGATCGTAAAATAATTTTTAAACTAAAGGCATTATCGTAATCTGCTCGATTTTTAAGCAGTTGTTTATATTCCTATCGACCCAAAAAAAAAAATTACAAGAAGGAAACAATTTCATGATAATTAAGCCTTGGGTCAGGAATGACGCATAGCTAAATGTGTTGTATTATTTTTTAAGTATGTTGGTAAGTTATCCTAGAGACACATAATTTCATATCGAATGGGAAATTTATCAGAGAAAGGAGAGTAGTTCCATGGCAATCAATACTTTTGATTGTATAGCAGCGATTCTTCTTGATCGAAGAAAATCGTTATTAAATAAACTCCATGACAATCAAGACTTTTACTCAGCAATGATGTTGATTATAAAGCTGGATTATAGCTAAATACTTTGTATTATGATAAGTAGTCTGTAAATCGTCCTACGGCTAGAAGGCTGGTTCTAAGACAATCAATATTTTTAGTAATTCATGATGTTGATCGTACATAAATTTACAGCTAAATGTAATCCGTTATTTAGGGTGATTTATTTCTAGCAGATCTAGGCATGATTGTCGCTTCTTTCTATTCTTATTGATGGAAAGAAATCTGCATTAAATTGATTTAAAATCTATCAATACTTTTGCTTAGCAATAATATTGATATCAAAAATGGATACGTGTATGTGAGTCTAAGTGTATCGCTTCGTCAGATATAACTACTTCTCGAATAGAATCGTTACTAAAGAAAGACTAGTTTTATGATAATCAACACTTTTGGCCATTGATGATGTTGATTCCATGAAATTTATAACTTAATAGAGTTCATTACATAAATTATTATACATGTATTTCAGATAGATCTAGTCGTATTCATAGTTTCTTTTACTTTATAGATTGTACAGTAGGAAATAATAATTAAATAAATTTCATAACAGTTAATACTTGTACTCAAAAAGGATGTCGATCATAAAAACTATGTGTAGCTAACTGTCCTACATAATATTGTAATATTAGCAGTTGTAAAGAACTGTAAACACTTACAGTTTCTCATTGAACGGGTAAGCGAGCAGAGAAAGATGTGAATTTATATAATAAATCAATACTTTTGCTTAGAAATAAAGTTAATCATCAAAACCAATTTAAAAATGAAAGACGTAAGATATCGTCTTGGCCGTAGGACGCTACGGATTAAATAGAAAAGTTAGAAAGAGTGACTATATAGCAATGTATTCTATAACGTTCGGCCATGATGGTCATTATGCAAAAATTACGATTAGATATATTGATCTTATTACATGTTCTAAATCATTTCAGGCACAATCATCACTCTACCAATTACATTAAAATAGTTAAGTTATTGGAAAACATCATTTGATAATAAGCAATTCTTCAATTAGGAAATGATGATAGAAATAGCATGGTGATTTAATGGCATGATGTCGATATTTGTTTCACCTATAGTCGAGGCGATAGTGATAGTTGTCGATTTGATCGTGATTGGCTACTGCGTATTTATTGTAGATTAGATTTACGATTAGAGAAAGTAGTGATCATGAAGAATAATATGTTAGGCAACACTCAATAACAATATTGTTGGATATCTTGCTATCCATGTCTAGTCATTGTACAGTTTGGAGGTAGGGAATAAAAGCACAGTGATGCTAAGCAAAATGATCAATATGAACACACGGCTATTATCCTATCAATAATCCATCAATTCCACAAATGGCTATGTTGGAATACAAGCTACACCTTCTTAAAGTGAAGGAAAATATTATTCATAGGGCAATCTATTTTATTGATTGTCGATTCCATAAATAAGTGTGTTCAATGTTTTGATGCTGATTCATCATCATCATTTTAATAACAAGTCCAGAGTTGGAAATATTTTCTATGAATTACTGTTACTATCCGTTATAACGGTCTGTAAAATAATATGGAGAGCAATCATCATTTTGCAATCTAAAAATGCAATAGATGCCATCATTGATCGTTTTACTCTCTCTCTACTACCGATGGATTTAGAGTTTCATTTTTTTGAATAAAAAAGAAAATTGATCCAGCTAACGTATGGCGGATTTGATTAGATAAACGATTTCAAAGTGGTTTCAATGTAGTCGAATTTAATCTAATCAATCAAACAAAGGCAAGTCATACAATCAATCTAGGTATCGCAATTTGGCTTACCTTCAAGATGATTTAGCTGTTCTTTGATGGTTTTCTTGATTTTTAAATCATCAATCTTTCTAACAGTATTCATCATTTCAGCCATTTGCTTGATAAGTGATTCGAAACGATTAATTTCCTGCTGTAGCGACTCCATCTCGAAACTACTAACACCATGTGTGGATGCCATATCGCATAGGCACTGGGTTGACCGATCACTAAACGATATTCAATTTCAATCAATGTCTATATTATTCCACTGATTGGAAATGACTACGAAGCCTAAAGTAATCAATTGTTGATAGAGATAATAGCAATACTAGAAAGGGTGAAAGGGACGAAAGGGGGAAAATAATCGGCTTCTACTTGAATCTTAACAACGATTCTAATAGCAAGGATAATCGTCCATATCCACTATAACTTGATGGAAAGGCAATCGTCGTTGGTTGAGCGATGGTTACGATCGTATAAGAGCAGGAATGATCATGGATAGAATACCTGGCTGAAATTTAAATCAAGATCAAGTTTCTTTACCAGCTTCTTCTTGGCTAAAAGTTGGATTATTTCCTTAGCGAAGCAAGTATATAACCAACCATAGATGAGGGTTATTATTGATTGAAAATGATGGGAAAGGTGTGGACTGTGTTCACCCCCGGGCTGTTGGTCGGTTTGAACTTTACCTTGTAGGGCAGACAAACGATAATAAATGATCCTTATTACAGTATAGCTTTGCAGCATATGTTGCGGTAGTATTATTGAAATGAGCGTATAGTTCTTAGATAGAATTGTGAGCTACAATAGTCTATATTAGCGATTGTTTCTCTAACTTCTATACCGTAGACTTGAGTTTCTAACAGTATGTTCGTGTTTGTGCAAATAAATTGTCACGCCTAGAGTTTTCTTTTTTGTCTTGAGATGTGAGACAATCTACTATTAAAATAGAGAGCGCGACGTCAACAGAGTGACAACTCATTTTACACACTAGTCGAAAATCTTTTATTACACAATTGGCCTGCGGATAGGTAAAGTAACTATACAACCAACTGGATTGTTATTGTACCTGCAGAACGTAATAGGTTATAACGTTATAACAACCTCTAATTTTCATATTTGGGTAAAGTGTAATGGTAGAAAATAGCCTAATATAAATTATGATAATACTCGTCTACGTCAATATAGGCAATAAATAGCAATGCAAGCCAGTAGATAAATGGAAAAGAAGAGCGACTGATTAGGATAACGGAATAAACTACGCGTATGTGGAATACGAAATTAACACAAAATTCTTTTTTTTGTGTGGGAAAGGGGGTAATTTCATTGACAACGAAAGTAGGAAAGCCATTGATTTAGGCTAGATATAGCGGAAGATAAACACGGAACTGGTTATCGCAGTCGTAAATAAGAGATTAAATGTTTATACAGTATTAATAAATAGATTTCTATCATAAGGAGTAGTATAGAAGTAAATTTGAAGACAGTGACTAAAAGGCATTTATAAACATATTGATGAAAGCGATAGAGTGGCGAAAAGATAGGAGAAAATCGAGATTATCATATTCGGAATTAAAAGTAGTTATGCTTGGCCAATGCGTAATTCATCATTTAAACCTAGACTTTCTAATTGTAATAGTAATAAATATCCACAGGCATTATACGCTGTTAAAACGCATCATTAAGCGTAAATATATTGGCTAGCTAAAGTTTAACGTATTAAAATCTCTGTCGTAATCGGAATGACAGTAGATTGAAAATACTGTACGATAATGGCTCGAATAGGACGTGTAGCTAGTAAATTAATGATGCATCTTCTCATATAGCCCATAATTTAGCAAACAGCGTATGTAACACACATTACTAATACAATTATATCAATTGCCATATTTATTGCTTGATAGAAATAGTTGCTGTAATAGTATGACAGTGATTTTGGTAAAAAACAATTACAAATATACATTGATCACTTACTATTTCGCTTGTACTACAGTACAAAAGAGTTCAAGCGATTCTAAATATACACCATAACATTTTTCCATGCCACGGAAGTACTCGAAGATTAACGATGACAATGTCAAAATGAATGACATAGAAATGATCAGAAATGATGTTAAAGAATAAGCAGAATATAACATAATTCGCAAAGTTGATTGCATCTCTTATTTACAACAAGTAATAACTTCCGTGGGTAACTAATAATCTCTTTAACAATATAATCCGGTAGGATAAAAAATGAAAATTGGTCGGAGACGGATATTTACATGGCAGCAGGAATGTAGTATTGGAGAATGACGTCCTCACTAACTAAATAAATATGAATAGCTTTTTCTGCCAATAGATCTAGGATAAAGCAATTGCATCTATTAAATCTATTACGCTATTAATAGTTATCAAAAGTTATTTTTTATAAAGTCTATAACTTACTGCAAATAATCTTTGACGGGTTAATCTGTTGGCCCTGCAATAGCTGAGCCAGTTTCTTAATATAAATACAGGCTTCCATCGCCCCTATTTGCGTCGATGCCTCTTTCCTGTTGTTTGCAGCATCGTTAGCTAAAGAATGTCATGGGGATAATTTCATGTTATCAATGGCATAGATCTAGTAATGTGATGTGGGTATAGCTTTTCTATGAAATACATTTAGCAACTTACCCCAAACGGGATTACCGAGATCCTTAAAATGCGTTTCTACCGTGACAATGTCATTTTGAGTTTTCAAAGTCATGTTGCCTTTTTGATCAGCAGTAATTACCTTGATATAATTTATAAAGCAAGAAATTACTAGCAGTCAATTAAATTTATCAATATAGCGAACATAAAATAGCCCTTGTTCTATCAATATTATTATAAAAGAATTCAAAATAGCATCAACTATAAGTATCCATGTTGTACAATACCAGGTGTTCGCTCAAGTTCTTCATTCTATCAATCACTTGTTTTAATACTTTCATTTGTGGCATGTAAATGCTAACCTAAATTCCATAGTAAAAATAGCAATATTCTTTTTATTTGGTACACTATCGATATCGAAATTATTGACTATTATGATAAAGCAGTTGTTAAATTCTTAATCTATCTTGCAGCTTACATCAAATTGGGGCATATCGGGTTCTTCATATTCGTACCAGTCCCGTTGTGGAACAATGACAACAGGTACATCGTGTGTTATTATTCTGTTTGAATTTCCGTAAGCCTATAATAAATGGAATAAGAGCTACTATCCTAAGTGTAATTTTGGAAACGTGTTTTGTTCGTATAAATCCATCATTCGTTTACTGAATACTGTACTAATAATATATGCATACCATATTAGTCCAATTATGCTATATTAAAAGTATCACTAATCATGTAACTGGATCAAAACGATGACAATTAGTGTCAGGTAGAAACATCTCTAATAGCCAGCTAGGTACTGTACAACAATCAGAGGCTATCGAATGACGAACTATACAAGCACAAATTTGATATTTAGCAACGCACTTTAGATCGAAAAGTGCTAATGTAGAACTTACAGTTACAATTTCTATTGTTAGGCAAGGCGTATACTTTTTGGTTAACCGTATTTTAACTGAAACTACGCCAAATTGGATCGATTTTAATGCTCTAGCAAAGTTGTCTGTAATGAGTTCCAAGAAGATACGATTGCTATTATCTTTCCCTTCAATGCGATAGTCATCAAATAATGTTTCCTAAGAAAATTGTTGGTAGATCAATCTCATATCCTTTTATTGATTACAGTAGCATGATGCAAGTACATGTTGTATACTAAACTTTTCCGATGCGTAAAACTGAAGCAATTTTCTTCAAGTGTGACGACTATTTGGTTAGTATCAACAGTGGAGTTACAGTATCATCGACAAGCGTTCTAACCTGCTGTATTTCACACCATATTCTAGTGCCACCTTCGGAAATTCTTTCATTGCTTACAAAGACAACTTTCTTGGGAGCAAGGCATAGCACACAGTTTTTGGTCATTCGTGACATACTCGCGCCAACACCTATCAAAATAGGAGAAAAAAAGTACATTTCATTCCATTACAGTATTGGGAGTAGTTATTGATTGTCATCATTCATTAATCCATGAAGATCTAGTGAATGTCAAGAGCTTGCATCATTTTCTCGATGCAGATAATAACATAAAGGTAAATCAACGACCGTGCAAGTGTACAGTACAGTACATAGAATGGCAAAGACAGACTATTTCTGTAGTAATATTACCCACAGTAAATAGGACACATCTATTAGTGTAAAAGTAAGATAATACAATCCAATAAATATAGTACACACACTACTAAAACAAGCGTCTGTTTAGCTTTCAATTGGAGTACTGTATACTTCTCTGTGAAATCCATAATAAATACGACAAGATATTGCATGACTTACGAGTTAGTTGTTGCATGCAGTTAATATCCAAAAGTTTGGCCTTAAATCTCATCTTGGCTTTTACTGTTTCAAAGGCGTTTGTTAGGCGTTTAAGAATTGTGAAAGCAAGGCCAAATTACCCTTGCAATTGAACTTTCCAGCAAGTTGATCTTCTTCTACGACTGCACTGCAATGCTGCTGCAGATTCTTTCCTGGAGTACTACAATGCAAGGGGAACCTCCTCGTCGATGTAGCTAGGACTAATTGTTAAAATGATTGAAATACTCTTCAAAGCTCTAACAAAACTTAATCTATCTCAGAAACAACCACTTGCGATGACTAATGGTATGAAATAACGATGGATTAGCCCTCAAAATGGCGAAAACTTGATGTTGGAGCTACTGCTCGTCTACCAAACCCCCCAAAAAAATTGTCGAATAAAATCCATAATGTACCCATCGATACCGTAGTATAAATTTTGCACTCCTGAACGAGATCTTATGCTAGTCTAGTATGGAAGTACTCTGCAACAATAACAGAGCGACCTCGACGGGACTCGAACCCGCAATCTCCAGCTCCGGAGGCTGGCGCCTTATCCATTAGGCCACGAGGCCAAAAGGTCGCCAATTTCAGTAAAGTTATTAGTATAAAGGATCTCAACCTAGACGCATGCGTTCCTGATACCGTCCTTCCGTAGCGGATTCCATACTGCTTCTGTAGTGCAAGTTAATATGACAGAATTGTACAGTAGTATGACTACAGTATAGACGCTATCGCATACTTCAGTACCTCTACAGTCCGTCACTTTCGCTAAAGGAAACTTGGCCTAGCATGCTAGCGTTCTCTGTAATACATCTCAAACATGTGTCCGAGACACATACTGTACTATACGCGTCAATTCGATGATGTTAGTGACAAGGATAGAAAGTTGCATTTCTCCTTCATTCTAGCTTTCGACTCCTCCATCTTGCTATCCCGAACTCATCGTCGACTTTTAGCCAGCAGCAATGCCTAAGAAAGCTTCCAATAGAGTTCGATGTTTCTTCGATATTGAGATTAATAAAGTACCAGGTAAGTTTACAATGATTAAGCTGTCGTTGAAGCAAGGATGGACCGCCATAGAAGCGGTCTTGGTTCCGTGTTGATTGCTGTGGTTTGATATACTGTTAGGACGAGCTGCAATGCTTTGCTATTTCTCACTTAGTTACTCTTCTAAAAGCAAACGAATAGTGGCAATCATCGACAATTTGAAAGTCGAATAGTTGGATCATTTAGCTAGTTGTAGCTAGTTGATGTGCTATAGCTACTTAGCTCCAAGCTGGTTGACAATAGAATTGGCTAGGGTAGTAAATGGCTTAACGTTGGTTTTGTGCCGACTATTGTGACTTATGATAGCAATTTTTGGACTATGACTCTGGACCTGGAAAATAACGTCTTCGGACTATGCTTCTGACGACGATCTGTTCGTTCAACTGAAAGACGAAGCTGAGTAAGCAATGGACTACGAGAACAATATTCTAACCCAATAGTCTAGTAGGGATGAGAGAACTTTCTAGTGCACTGTAGAAGAATCGAATCAATTTCTCATTCTGTCTGGAAAATAGTATCTTCTATCTATGCTACTGACCAAGATCTGTTTCCTAAACTGAAGATTGAGGTCGACAGGATAGTTTTACCGACGAACGGAGTAAGCGATGAACTGCCAGAACAATACTGTAACCTAATGGTCTAACAGGAATGAGAGAACTTTCTATTTTATTGTTGAAGAAACAAATCAGTTTCTCGTTCTGTCTGGAAAATAGCATCTTCTGACTATGCTAAGTGCTGAATCTGCTCAGTACTTGCATCAAAGTTTTACAATTGCCACATTTTATCTTGCATGCTGGTTTGCGTAGCATTACCGTATGCTTACTTACTGTTCGCTGGACGGGTTGGGTTTAACTTGTGCTTCTTGATACTTTTTGAAAGTCCTTTTCTTGCGATGAGAAATAGACATGCATAAGCTAACGCGATACCTTAGTAATGTAATAGGAGTCGCATAGCCTATTACTACGGTATGCAACGATCGATGGTATTGGTCAATGCAAGCTATAATAATACAGTACTTGATGGTCGGGATAGCAAAAGTAGCCCCCAGATTTAGGGTTAATGTCCTCAAAGCTATTCACTGCTTGAGTGTATTTAAATACTTACACATTTACTGAATGCTAATAGACCTTAATAAAGAGTATATTGCTATACTTTGACAGCCTAGTCAAACGGAGATGATAGTATTACTACGTCCTGAAAGTAAATAACTCGCGTGATTACCTTTTGTAATGAATCTGATTCATGTCAAGGTTGGCCTAGTCTTATTTCCCTACTCGGGTACACTAATTACGCATTGCTGTGATATTTTCCATAAGCACTGAACGAGGAGGGCTGCAGCAGTAATCCGCATTTACTTGCATTAATCCACTTACTACGATACCCATATACACAATCATGCAGCAGAATAGGACTAGGATAAAGAATAGTCTACGAGATCGCATGCGACGACGGTTATTCTAACTTTTTGGAGCAAAGCAGTTTCAATACGGAAATAATAACTTATACATCATCGCTCATACGCGTATAGTAACTATTTTCCGCTTACGGTGTTCCATGATAAAATGCGTGTAAACTTATTCTATATTTCACTTACACTATAATCTAATCATGAAATACGATGTTGTTTATAGCTGGACGAATAATATTCGAATTGTTTGCGGATGACTGTCCTATTACCTGTGAAAACTTTCGTGCTCTATGTACAGGTAAAAAGATATAGGCATTTGATTTTAATATCTAGTACTGCTTATATCAGTATCATTTTATGAATCTAAAATGGAAATGCATAAGCTAATTTACTTATCTTATGCTTCCATAGCGCTAGTGTGAAATGTTTGCTAGTTAGATCTAAATATTCTACATACTGTGGACTGTTATTTTCAAGGTTATTGCAGTGTAGTTTAATGCGATATTTTAACTTATTGCTTGCAATAACTGTACTGGAAATGATAATAACTGTTACAAGTATTCTGTGTGCTTTTTATAATTATGTATCGTGCGTTTCTACAATTGTTAACAACTTTACTACAGGGGAAAAAGGAGCTGGCAAGACTACGTATAAGCCTTTGCATTATAAGGATACCCCTTTCCATCGCATCATTAAAGGTTTTATGATTCAAGGTGGCGACTTTACATCAGGTAATAATTAATCGACGATGAATACTGTAAGATGAGCTAGAATTAAATAAATTTAAAGTCTTGTTTTTACTCAGTTGGTTACAAGGTTATGATTTCTTCGATGCTATAATTGTAGTACTAACGTTATCTTCTAGTTGCTGTATTTATTGTACGTAAGATAGATGTACAGTACACTATTGTACAGTATGTGACCCAAATCACGTTGTACTATATTTAAAGACTTGTTACTGTTTCATAAGTAGTGCATGACGTCGATATCACTCTTTCAATGAATATCTGTTAGCTTAGGAATACAACCACTGATAATAGATCATCTCGAGTAGTGCTTGATTCTGTAGCTTCTTTTCATTTACTTATACTATTCGCTAATCACTCCCTTTTATCCTACTTAAAGATGATGACTTTAATATTATATGCGAGTAATGGTACGAAGCCAGTTTTTACCATTAACTCATTTAATTGCAACAACTACCAATTACGGTTCTATAAAGTTATAGTTTTAGTTAAAAATTACAATGAAAAATTCAAATTCAATTTTATAGCACAGTACTTCGTCTACAATGAAAGTAACCCTATACGTTACTTCCATATGCATAAACCCCAATTAGACCAAAATAGGAGTTATACTTTCGTATAGGTATTAATCATGTCACATTGTCTTTGCCTACTGTATATACTGTACTCTTAGATTAATTTAATTCATTATAAAACAAATTTTAGGTTCGAAAAGCAGATACCAACCAAATTATTGCTTATTAGCAATTTATTGTGACACCTACTCATACATTTGATGTTTGCATTACCAACAGGTGATGGCACTGGTGGTGAATCAATATATGGAGGAACTTTTAATGGTAAGAAAATCGAGATGGCTTTGATTTAGCCCTACCCATGAGAGAGGTCGTCATTAATTATTGTCAACTATATTCATAATAAATAGATGAAAATTTAACTTTAAAGCATGAGGATTCCTTTCTACTATCTATGGCCAATCGCGGAAAAAATACCAATGGCTCTCAATTCTTTGTGTAACTATCATTACATTGAGTATTGCAATGGATTTGACTGCCAAAATTTATCTGGCAGGAGTTAGATATTAAATCAATTTCCGTTGTATTATGTAACATAACCACTTATTTTTAATTCATTTTGGCCTACATTTACTTAACAGAACAACAAATCCGGCTCCACATCTCGACGGGTTAGATATATTTTTGCATTAAGTTTGCAATCGATAGAATGACCTTGTGATTCCTATATTGAACGTTGGCTTGTTTACATTTAAGCATAAAGCTGCTATTCAAATATTTGATATCGAAGCAACATTTTTAAACTTCATTACAGAATCCATGTTGTATTTGGACGAGTTATTAGAGGTCAAGATATCGTTACACAGATTGAAAATCAGCGAGTTGATTCTAACCATAGATCACACGCAGATGTCCGAATTGTGAATTGTGGTGAATTAGTATTACTTAAAAAAGGTAACCATCATCTAATTTTTATTAATAAAATATATTTATAATATGCAATTCTGAGTTACTGCTATGCTGATGCTATATTATATACGGATTAGTAAATGTAAATACTTTGTTTTTTGTAGCATTGGCGCCAGACGATAACACATTGTTCAAAATTAACACACTTTCATTATTTCTTTATTACGTTAATATTTATACTTACATGCAGCAAAGCAAAAAGAAGTTAGGGAATCAGAAAGCGGTTCTAGCACATCTGGTTCAAGTTCTGATAGTTCTAGTTCTGGCGAAAGCTCAGGTAGTGAGTCAACTGATAGCGAAGCAAAAAGGGAGAAATCTAAAAAGGAACAGAGAAAAGAAAAGAAGCGTTTGAAAAGATTGGAAAAGAAAAAGAAAAGAAAAGAGAAAAGAAAAATGAAAAAAAAGTTAAAAAAGATGAAGAAAGCAAAGAAAAAAGAAAAAAGGTAGAAACTATTTGAAATCTGATCTGGTTGGTCCGAAATTATAACACTATCGATTAAAATAAATCTGTAATTTATTAGTAACTGCCTAATCAGGGCTATAGTCGTTTGCTAAACATAATCAACCTTGTATCAAGTATTTAAACTTACTGCTACATTAATAGAGCACTTATTTTATCATGCTTGGAACGTCATTTAGAAAGCAAAAATTGACCGCTCCTGAAAGTCAGACTCAGGATATTCCAGATGTACCAACTAGTTCCTTCTTGATGAGACACAGTCGCACACCTTCACCAGTACGAGAGAAAAGAGCTAAACTAGGCATAGCTAGGCGTACGTCGCCACCGTTACACCAAGGTGGAGAAAGGGTAAGTCATTTTACTAATACGTACGTGAAGTGCTTCAATTATATTTACTCTTATGGAGTAATTATTCTATATTTAAAGATATCTTCCACAGGCAGAAGACTTAGAGGTCGAGGTAACATGGTAAGCTATCAGTAAATTTTTTTTCTTAGTAGATTCGATTTGTAAATCTAGTAAATATTTATTCGAAGATTCATCTTTATAAATTATATGTAAACTACTATAATGCATTGATACCATTGGATTAAATTGCTAAACCCCATTATTCTCTATATTCTGGGCAAATTCGTATATACGTATTTGTAGCGTTATCGAACACCGCCTAGGGAGTTTTCTTCTGGACAAAATGCGATGGATTTACGATATGAAAGAACTGACACTAGAAGCCGTTCTAGATCACCAAGACGCCAAGGAGGATCTAGATATAGGGATAGAAGTCGTTCACCTGAAAGATTCAGTTCAAGGAGGGACCGTTCTAGGTCACCACGACGGAGTAGAGATTATCGTAGATCTCGATCTGGAAGTCGATCAAATGAAAGATATAGAAGAATGCGAAGCCGTTCAAGATCGCCTGACAGAAAGCGATCGATGAGATCTCGATCAAGATCTAATGGTCGCCGCAGACGCTCATACGATAGAGCAGCCCGTTCTAATTCCAAGTCTCAATCGCCACGAAGAAATCCAGAAAGCCAACGAACTGAGCGATCTGCTCGTTCTCCTGTTAGACGATCACCCTACAAATCTAGACAGCGATCAACTAGTTCCTCTTCACATCATAGATCAAAGAGTTCTTCAGAGCGCAGTTACAGTGATAAAAAGGAAAAATCACCCGTGCGTCGCGATTCGCCTGACCGTTACAAAGCGGAAGATCGAAGAAAAGATGGTAAGAATGAATCACGCGAATACCGTGGACGTTTCTCTAGATGTAGGCGTAGCTCCAGTAGTTCTTCTAGCAGTAGTAGCAGTAGCGACAACGGAAGTAATAGACATGATGGAAAAGATCAAAAAAGTCCAAGTAATAGCTCAGCGAAGCCATCCTTAAGTCCTCAACGGGGCCGCAGGTCTTATAGTAGCAGCAGCGGAAGTAGTAGTGACGGCAGTGGCTCAAAGTCTTCAGAAGGTATGCAGGTATTAGTTGTGTACTTGATGTTCTACGTGTAAGCGTATTTTAACAATCACTTATGCATCGTTACATAAGCGTATATAGCAATAGTACAACTTAATATTATACTATATGTATGTGTGCATATTTGAATACAAATTGATACGAATTGCATCTTCCATTTATGTAAAGATTCAATCGGGTTAAAGCAGGATTGATATACACGTTTACTGTCTTACTACAAACGTTTCGTAATATGATCATTACATTTTCGTTGACGTACAGTATCTGACGCTCTATACTATTCCGTAGTTTCATAAGCTACTTCAGTCAGTAAGGTATTTAGTCAAATTTGTTCAGTAGATTTTGTCTGATAACGGCGTGAAATGCTATATTTAGTTATGGTTTACCTTATATATAATCCAGTAACTCATTTTACTTTTCTTTAACGACGGCGTAAAGTTAATTATTGTAATAAATGTGGGTGTAAATTTACCCACTGTGAAGTATCTGTTTCATCATTAATCTACTCAGAAAGTTTAAAATGCGCTCTTGTGACTAATTTTCTCTATCAACTCAATGATCTTCAATCTCTTTTTGAATGTTAAATTTGTTGATTTTGAAAAAAACATCGTTAAACAAGATTTTACTGAGAATGTGATTTCCGCTTGAATTTTTCTACCGTAGGTGATGCAAAAAAGTAACAACAAGGGACCTTTACTTTGAAATTATTTCTCTATGATATGCGAGAGACATTGGAGCGTCAGTTTCGCTTTTTTACGACGATTATATTTTGTAAATTATTTCGTAATTATTCAATATCATTATGCTTATTATATCTACAGGTTAATATTAATCCATCGATAGGAAAATGAGATCGTTTATGCCTATTTTATTTACTGTTTCATGTTAATAGTTATAATTTTGGCATGTTAACCAAATGGTCAATACACACATGTATCGTAGATATACAGCATATTTGATAACCTTTTAGTTTACATTAGGATAATAAGAGCCTAAGATTTATGTGCAAGATGTCACAACCGTATTACGGTCAGGAAATATCCGTCGTCATGAGTGATTTCAATGGTTTGATAATAATTCATATAGCTTAAAATAGGCACGAAGGTTGAAATAGCCGTGACGTAAGTTAATTCAGATAGTATAACTGCATTGTCTTCATGAACCAAGTCGCCGTTTCGAGCACTGCAAGTGATAAGTAGTTCTAAGTTTAGCGGGACTCATCTGTATTTTATATGATACGTTTTGTATACGGAATAGGTAATTCCATATCTTAACGTCGATGTCCTCAGCCTTTAAATCGTTCTTGTATTTATACTTTTACAGAGCAAGGAGCTACTGATAGATAACAAATCCAAAATAAATTGGATGGATATGAATGTAGTATTGTAAGTGATCAGTTCTGTACAACATCTAATAAAGTTTTTATAATTTAATCCATAGATTTCCTCTACAAGTCAATGTTAGTTGTGATTGTATTTGGATAAGCTCTATAGGGCCAAAATATCCAACATTAACGGCAAAACTACTGCTGCAACTCATTCATACTCTACTGTACTTAGTAAGCGTAGAGTGCTTCGAAAATTATTGAAATACATATTGTTCAACTGTATTCAATTCCTAATAGAGGTGAATCTTCGATTTCCAATGTAATTTTCCTATCGCACAAGCAAGTTATTAGTGCTGAGTGTGAGTTATATAGCTAAACTAATAGCTATTAAAAGATACCTATTCATATCCATAAATATTGAAAATATTCATAACTGAGCGGCCGATATTTATTAAGCAACAGAATCTTCGTAGTACCTCGGAATTTGTCCGGTAGTAATACCACCTATTAAAAGGTCTACCAGACTTGTACGATAAGATTTCGTATATGGTGGAGTCAGAACTCATTTCATCGGGATCGTCTAGAGGCATATTACACAATAATAGCTCTACCGCCGTTACTTACTGTATATGTGATACGATTGCATTGCAATTCATATACTGTATACTGTAATTGGAGGCAGAAATCATCTAAAAGCCTTTATACAACATTTATAGTGTTGGTAATTGTACTTTAGATAGCCATTCCGCACTCATCGACAAGGTTAGTAGCAGCTCGTTGCTAGATTAGCAGCGCTAGCTAGTAGAATTATTTTCTTAAAAAATTTTATTCAAGGGTGTATATTGAACCAGACAAGAAATGAATCCATTTAGTATGAAATGATTAATCCAAAGGCTAAAATTTTAGCTCTAAATTCAATCTAACAGTTGAAAATTTCTGTTTTATCACCGTCATCGCTAAGTTTAGAGAATCATTACCACAATAACTGCTACATTTATGATAGCAATTTGCTAAACATATCCAACACCAACCAGATTCTCTGACTATTAAATTAATTAATTAAAATGCCCATTAATAGATGTATTGGCCGCCTAATTGGCAGTATTACTATACTCTAGGACACATATTATGCGGCTACCTGTAGAAACGTTATCTAATCAGCATAAAGGACAAGTACAGTATAGTATTGAATACAGCATTGGATTAGCATTAGCCAACTCCCTGGTGTGCAGCTGAGCATAATGCATTACTGTACTTATAATTATTATTATTAGCGAATGTAGGAGTAAATAAAATGTTTTTATAACATCCGTTTCAAATCATAATACAAGCGTAATCAATTAATTAATTAACGGTTACCAACTACTGCGTATATACTGTAGTAGAATCTGCTAAGTAGATAAAAGTTAACGTCATAAACATTAGTTCTTTGTATTAATCCGTTTATAGATCGCTTTACAGTGCTAGCTAAAGCAGCGATTGCTATTTTGCATGGATGTCGATTTCCCGTTCATCACATTGGAGGTTCAGCGGGATTTTTAGACTGAAAATAAAGTAATTGCTCAACTGAATTATTCTTCCATTTGTATAAAATTAAGACATTTTCGATGTTGGATAGATTTTGAAAATCCATTTGTATCGATGAAGACGAATGTGAATTAGCTGGTTGAGAGTAAATTACCATAATAACATAATAAGAGTATAAGAGCAACTCCTGTTATGAGTACATAGCGTTTATGCACTCCTACTACGTTACAATGGGCGTTCA